AAAAAAAAAAAAAAAGGACGTCGTTTGAGTATCAGAATGTGCAAGTTTAGAGGGTTTTGTTTTTTGAAAGTTGAAACTGTGACCCTTTTTTTTTTTTTTGGACCATTTCTCGATTTATGCGTGTCATCCTTACTTGCACAGGGGCCATGCTAATCTTCGGGGCTCGTTCCACACTCCTCGGGGCGTCCTCGGGGCCCGAGGACGATTCCTTGGAGTCGCCCGTGGAAATTCCCGCCTCCGTTCCACTCATCCTCGGAAATGTTCCCCGAGGACGATTCCTCGGGTGCTCCCGCGGCCAGTTGCATATTTCGACACGCGGACGCGGGGGGGGTGGCGAGGTTGGTCCAGCGGGTTGTGTCCGTGGCGTYGCCCTTGGTCCAGGAGCTGTGGGCGGCGCGAATTCGAATTTATGCGGCGAAAAGAAAAAGGCCACGTAAAYGGCGCGCAGTCCCGGATTCGAATTTCGAAATTCGAATCCCGGTAAGCGAATGACGGCGGCGCGTGTGTCCCTTACGGCTGACGGCAGCAACGTTCGTCGGCGAGACTGTTTCGGTACGGGGTGGCGGCTTCGTGGGGTCTGCTGGCACGCCGAACGTCCATGAATACGTTCGAAGCAGCACGGCCGCCGTCACACGATCGCCAACGTTGTGTGCTTCGCTACGCGCGCCATCGCTGTTGTTCCCACCGAAGTCGAGCCTTCTTCACTTGGGGAGGACGAGGGATGGACGTGGACGGGGACGCGGTTCATGACGCACTCAGCAAGGCGGAGAGGGCGGCTGTGGCAGCGGCCGTGAACATGATACTCATCAGGTGTCAATTGCAGAGGACGGAGGGGAGGATGAGAGCAGCCATTCGCGCACGCCGGAAGAAGACGCTGCAGTCCATTCATGTGGACGAAGAGGGCAGTGGTGCCATTTGCGACGCTGTCCTTCAGGTGTGCTATGCCATGGGGTGTGGAGCGTTTCCCAGAGCGACGCCGAGGTGGTGGATGAAGCGTCGAACAAGGGGGGTGTGGGAGGATCTGCGGCAATGCGACGACGCGACGGAAGACTACTTCAAGGACAAGCTGCGCATGTCGCCACGGCAATAGCGGAAACTCTGTCTCCCTTCCTTCAACAAGTGACGTTTTATAGGGAGCCCCTCCGGCCTGACCTCATCGTTGCGTTCGCTTTGTACAGATGGGCGTCGGGGGAGACGTACGAGAGCGGGACATGCAGCTTCGGCATTGGCAGAAAGTCTGGGTTAGTGGCTGTGCGGGATGTTACGTCGGCGTTGCTGAGTGCGTACAGCGACAAGATATCGTGGACAACGGGCTGCAAAAGGCGGTCGTCTTGCGCGCTTTCGCTGACAAGGGTTTCCCCAACTGCCATGGCTGCATCGATTGTACCCACATCTTCATCGACAAGCCAGCCAATTGCCCAGGAGAGGACTACTACGACAGAAAACGTCGTTTCTCCGTCCAGGCTCAGGTGGTCGTCGATCTGAACTTGCGCGTGCTGGATGTGTTCGTTGGATACCCGGGGAGCTGCCACGACGTAAGGATCGTCCACCTGTCCAGTTTGTGGGTGCGTGCGGAGGCAGGGGAGTTTTTCACTGGGCCACCTGTCATGCTGCCTTTCGGTGTGTGAACGAACGGCTATCTACTAGGCGACAACGGTTACCCCCCCTCGGCATGGGTAGTCGTCCCCTACAGCGCTGTATCGCAGCACCCGTCGGAGATTCGGTTTGACAACAAGCAGAAGACGGCGAGGGGAGCAGTCGAGAGGGCTTTCGACAGATTGAAGGGGATGTGGAGGTTGTTCCTTCGCTCCCACAAGACGAACATGGACACGTTGCCGCAGCAGATCGCCGCCGTCTGCATTCTCCACAACATACTCATCGACGCGGGCATCCCGTTCGACGACAATCTGTTGTGGGAGGTCGGGCCGGACGGTGTTCGTCGCAGGGTGGACCTTGGGAAGCACCGCCCGTTGAGGAAGATGTGCATGGAGTCGTCGACGGGGGATGCGCTGATCCTGTGGGATGCACTGGCGGAGCGAATGGGTACGCAGTGAAGACGAGCGGTCATCGGGAGCGGGCGGCATGCACAGAGAGAGAGAGAGAGAGAGAGAGAGAATCGACCGCTACCTGTGTCGGTGGGCGTTGGCGTGCATGCAGCGACTTGTCTGGCGCACTTTAGTTTCCTGTACTTTCGCATTGCACCGCACTTATGAGGTTTTCGCCGGGTGGGGTTTACGGCGAAGGCACAGTCCATGTCATCGGCTTAGGGGGTTTCGTGATGCACGTGTGGTTGTAGGTCTTTGCGACGATTTGCAGTGTGGTGTACACCGTCAGTGACGGGTGCGAGTGACGGAGGCCATCTCCGTGTGTGGTTGTTTTTTTTTTTTTTTTTAGGATGGTCGGGATCGAAGTTGCCTTCAAGGCGTGTTACATTGTAACTGTGACGTGTTGTGCTGTTGCCGGGAGTGACAGCATTAAGATAACATATCTTGTGATTTTTTTTTGATGTCGTGGAGGTTGTTTTCCGTGTTCGTGTCGAATGACAAGTATTTTGTTAAAGAGAGAGACGCTGTGTGTGTGTCATTTTTATTGCCTTCATTTGTGCTCGCATTTGGAATGGGTTGTGTGAAAATCCATCAATCTGTGATAAATCATTTGTTGAATCATACATCCGTCACCACTTTCCATGTCGGTGCAGCCCTGACAATCTGTGATAAAGCAAATGAAAAGGGAACGCAAAGGAGTCGACATGAAACTGTAGACATCATCAATAACGAGAGACACAAGAAACGACAACATCCAGACATCATGAAAAGCAACGAACACAAGAAGCGACAACCTCCTGAAGTAGGGCCGTCATCAATACCAATGACATGTGTCACATGTTGGTTGTTACAGACGCGAACATCAATTTCTCAAGACCCTAAACAGATAACAGAAAGAAAAAAAAAAAAGGAAAACCATGACAAAAACATACGATAATTACACACCCCCACGGTGACCTGTCCGCCACGTCGAT